GGTTCAGGCAATTCTCCTGCCTCAGCCTCCTGAGTAGCTGGGACTACAGGCACGCGCCACCATGCCCAGCTAATTTTTGTATTTTTAGTAGAGACGGGGTTTCACCATGTTAGCCAGGATGGTCTCGATCTCTTGACCTTGTGATCCACCCGCCTCGGCCTCCCAAAGTGCTGGGATTACAGGCGTGAGCCACTGTGCCCAGCTGCATGATGGTGTTTCTAATGTGCTTGCACCATTTCTGCCTCCATAACTTTCTTACCCCTTTGAAATTTTAAAATGTATTTTAGAAAGATTACTTTGTCTTTCAGTGAAAATTTTTTTCCAGATTTAACATATTTTGATATATATATTAAATATATAGGCTGTGACCAAGTGAAGTGGCTCCTGACCTCAGGCAGGCAGATCACCTGAGGTCAGGAGTATAAATCCAGCCTGGCTGACATGGCGAAACCCCGTCGCTGCTAAAAATAACAAAAAAAAGAAAAAAAAAATATCTGGGTGTGGTGGTGGCCACCTGTAATCCTAGCTTCTTGGGAGGCTGAGGCAGCAGAATTGCTTGAACCTGGGAGGTGGAGGTTGCAGTGAGCTGAGATCATGCCATTGCACTCCAGCTTGAGCAACAAGAGCGAAAATCCATCTGAAAAATATATATATATAGAGAGAGAGAGACTGTGTTGTGAAACTTTTTTTGATTTTATTTTTTTACAGATGGGGTCTCTGCATTGCCGATGCTGGTCTTGAACTCCTGCCCTCAAGCAATCTTCCTACCTTGGCCTCCAGAAATGCTGTGATTACAAGCAGGAGCCATTGCACCTGGCTAACGAGTTTTATATGACACCATTCTTACCAATAAATGGAATTCCGTAAGGATAAACAAGAAAATATTAACGATTGTTAATTCTGTGGAGTAGAACTAAATGAGGGGAGTGCAAAGGAGTTTTTATACATTTTATTTTTACCCTACTGTATATAGGGTAAAATGGATGTTAATTTTATTTAAGAAAAAAAAATCAATAAAGAAATTACCAACCTCTGGAAATGTTTTGAGACTGAATGGGAAATCCATTCTGCAACTTGTCAATATATCTCTAAACATCCCCTCCAAACATGACTTTTCTCTACAAACGTGATTATGCTTCTGGAAGGGTGATTTGTTGTTGTTATAGGGTCTTGCTCTGTTGCTCAGGCTGAAGTGCAGTGGCACAATCTCAGCTCACGCAACCTCCACCTGGGTTAAAGCGATTCTCCTGCCTCAGCTTCCCAGATAGCTGAGATTACAGGTGTGAGCTACCGTGCCTGGCCAAGAGTGACTGTTTTTTGGTATGTGACTTGAGTCAGAGGACTAAGGTCATTTAGGTTTTTTCTTGAGAGCAGTTTGATTGAATGGGACAAAGAAGGAAGTGAAGACAAGAAGGTAACACTAGTAGA